CACCCTCTCCATTTTTTTCTCATGTGGTTCAGCCCTAAAAACAAAAACTCTATGCTCTGTGGTCATTCTTTAGCAAGTATTACATGTCAACTAAGCATAGAGAGAGAATAAAAATTAAAAAACCTCAAAATGCCTTATCTCAACTATTCTTTCATGTTAAGTCTAAAATCAAGTTGAATTTAATTTAACATAAAAGTTTATTTCATGTTAAGTCTAATTCGGTTCATGTTAAGTCTAATTTAATTTATTTTTAAGTCTAATTTAAAATATGTTATATCTAATTCAACTTGTTTCAAGTCTAATTTAATTCATGTTAAGTCTAATTCAACTTGTTTTAAGTCTAATTTTATGTTAAGTCTAATTTAATTCATTTTAAGTTTAATTTAAATCATGTTATGTCTAATTCAACTTATTTTAAGTTTAATTTAATTGGACTTAACATGAAATTAGACTTAAAATTTTAAATAGACTTAACATGAATCATGTTAAGTCTATTTCAACTTATTTCAAATCTTAAAAGGAATTTAACATGATTGAAATTAGACTTAAATTAAGTTGAAATAGACTTAACATGATTTCAAGTCTTAAAAGGAATTTCAACTTATTTTTAGACTTAAATTAAGTTGAAATAGACTTAACATGATTCATAAGTTGAATTAGACATAACATGATATAAATTAGACTTAAAAAGAATTAAATTAGACTTAACATAATTTAAATTGGACTTAACATGAACTAAATTGGGCTTAACATAAATCAAATTTGACTTAATATAAAATTAGACTTAGAACGATTTAAATTAGACTTAAAATAATTTAAACTGGACTTAGCATGAACCAAACTGGAGTTAACACGGATCAAACTGGACTTAACATGAAAGTAGATTTAACATGAACCAAAACTAGACTTAACATGAAATTAGACTTAACATGAACCAAAACTGGACTTAACATGATAAACTGAACTTAACATAAAACTAGACTTAACCTGAACCAAAAGTAGACTTAACATGAAATTAGACTTAACATGAACCAAATTGGTCTTAACATGATAAACTGGACTTAACATGATAAAGTGGACTTAACATGAAACTAGACTTAACATGAACCAAACTGGACTTAACATAAAATTAGACTTAACATGAACCGAACATGTTAAGTCCAGTTTGGTTCATGTTAAATCTAGTTATATGTTAAGTCCAGTTTTGATTTATGTTAAGTTTGGTTTCATGTTAAGTCCAATTTGATTCATGTTAAGTCCAATTCCATGTTAAGTCCAGTTTTGGTTCATGTTAAGTCTAGTTTCATGTTAAGTCTAGTTTGGTTTGTGTTAAGTTTAGTTTAAATTATTTTAAACCTATTTTAAATCGTTTTAAGTCTAATTTCATATTAACTCCAATTTGATTCATGTTAAGTCCAATTTAGTTCATGTTACGTCTAATTTAATTCATTTTAAGTCTAATTCAACTCTTTTAACTCTAGTTTGGTCATTTCAAGTTGGTTTTTGCTGAGTTCTTGAGTGGGTATAAATACCCTATTGCTCTTCTATTTTAGTAACTAAGAAAACCAAGAGTTTTGTTTTTACAAGAAGTTTTAACAAAGGTTTAAGAGGCGTTTAAAGAGCTGTTAAGCTAATTTTCGTTAATCTACTTCAAGAGAAGTTTCCTACAACAAGAAGTGGCTTTTAATTCCTATTGGGATCATCATCCACTACTCTTCTTGTTTATTGAGAAGTTTTCTAAACTCTTCATTATATAGCTTACTATTTCACTTTCATTTATTTAGCTATATTTATTGAGTTGTATTATTTTCATTCACTGTTATCACACACACATATTGAGCTTAATATCTTAATGCTATATAGTGTGGGTTGTGGAGTGTGATTTAGTAAGTGTGAGCTTCATTTGCGTTCTCATTTGTTATTAAGAACAAACCATTGTATTTAATCTTTATTTGTGAGTATCACTTGTAATACACTTGTACACCAAGATAAGTGTGAGGCGAGAGACGGGGTCGAATCCAATAGGAGTGGCGTCGGTTGACAAACCTAGGGAGAGGTTGCATCCGAGCACTTGAGGAGGAGGAC